GTCTGTGCCCCCCCCAGTGGCAGCGATGCGTCCTATGAAGCCGGTGGTGGGTGGTCCAGAAGTCCTGAGGGGGGGAGACACAGACACAACAGGGCGGAATGAAACAAGGCAGCAGTACAGTTCAAGGGAAATCCAAAATACGTAGTAGCAAGGCAGAAGGCTGGTCAGAGTTACCGGGATTGAAGAGTAGTCAGGAGTCGTTATGGCAGAAGCAGGTCTGGATCTCCTGGGGCAGAAGAGTATCCAAAAATCAGGCAGGTCCGGGGTCACAAAACCAGGGTGAGCCAGAAGCGCGAGCAAACAGGTTCCGGGTGTGAGCTTTGCAGACGATCTGACACCGGAGAGCTGAAAGACAGGGCCTTAAATACTGGGAGAGGTAGTGGGTAATGCAGCGCAGCTGGCAGAGTAATTAGAGCAGAGCAGAGCAGGGACAGGTGGAGCTAGTTAGGCTGAGTAGAGAGAGTGGTGAGCAGAGTGGAAGAAAATTAAGGTGGTAACCCGGTGGAGTGAGAGGCTCATGACAATAATTTCCCGAATGTACGCCTTAAAAGCATCCCAAATTATGTCGGGGGTCGGCTTTGCTCTGTCCTCTATGTCAACATTTGTAATGGTAAAGGTCTTACATTTTTTCATTCACGTATTTAATACATTTTGGGTCTTGAAGATGCACTCTGTTCATTCTCTATATTCTGTCGCTAAGTGTATTTTCAGTTGGTGTAATTCAGCATGATACAGGAGAATGATCCGATATCACTATGTGATGGATTTTTTAACCCAGTATATTGTTGAGGGCTTTTGGGGAAATACAAATTTAGGCCTAGTCAATTCTTGAAAAGCTTTTCTTACTTTGAGAAATAAAGTGGTATTTTGTAGTTGGGAATAGTAATCTCCAGGTGTACTATAAATTATTTGTAGAGATCACATTGCTCAGCCTCTTTGGAGGCTCCTTGAATTTGCCTTTTTTATTGCTATGTCTATCCAACTTGCCGAATGTGTGATTTAGGTCGCCTGCTAAAATAATAGTTCCTGTCTGGGTTTGATCTAATACAGCTTGAATTCCATCTAAAAACACCAGATTTGCCCCTGGGGGAATATACAATGAAATCAATGTGTATTTTTTATAATGTAAGGTACAATTCAAAATTGTCTCGCTCCCTATTGCTGAGGAGCAGTGCGCACATGCTTTCACTTTGGGTGACGCATGTCCCCGGTTGCCTCAACTCGGGTGCAGGTCTTTTATCCAGGTGGGACCTTCTCTCTCAGGAGTGGAGCCTCTCCCAGGTACGGGACATTTTCTGCTGGGCCGACGTAGATCTTTACGCATTGCGAGAAAACGCACAGTGTCGTCTATTTTTCTCGCTGAGGGACCCGAGTGCCCCGTTGGGAACGGATGCTCTGGCGCACAAGTGGCCTCAGCCCATCCTTTCTGCGTTTCCGCCAGTGGTTCTAATTTGGCCCACCATTGATTATTGTGGCTCCCCGTTGGCCCAGGCAGCCTCGGTTCACAGAGATCATTCGCCTTTTAGGTGGGGACCTGTAGAAACTCCCGTTGCGCAGGGACCTGTGGGCCTGGCCCCTAAGAGGGCTAATCTGATGGCTATAGGTTTACCTCTGTCGTGACATGACTTTAACATTCATTTGAATACTGTTATCTCTAATTACCTAACTATGTTTCATTGTTACCCGATTTAAATTAATCATATAACAATTAACTCATTAGTATCTGGGGCACCACGAGAGCGGTTCTTTAAAGAGTCACCATCTCCCGAATTAAACTCTAAAAGGTCTTTACCTATCACATCTATAAACAGTCAACTTATTCATCATAACCTCGTGTCATATCATCATTCTGAACAGTCGTAACCTCCTTGCATCTGCAAAAACCCGAGCTTTACTTATGATTCAGTACTACACAAACTGGTTTAATTATGTATTTACTAGCTAATTAAATGGGAACACAGGATAAACATACACGCTCTGCACCGGTTATTGACTGGAGAAAACAGGTCCCTAGCGGAATGACAACAACATGGCTGCTTGTTAAAAAGAAGAGATGGAGAGGGAGAGAGGGACAGAGAAACTTTACCTTGATACATTCAGAAACTACACTCACCTACACAGTACCCATATACTTTGCACACGAACCGCCGTGTCGAAAGGGGCGGTTCCGGCAGGCTGGCACGCTTTCTGACCTCACTTTGGGCGGTGACTACTAACTGTGCAAAGTTATGAAAAACAATTATCTCTTATAACTTCTCAAAACACATCCCTCTCTTTCATCATTTTTCATATTACATGCACAACGCATAGTATGGCAATGTCAAACATGTAGTGGGTATACTTTCCAAATTAAAGTATTTCCTTTATAACATTTTTAATGGCATCACAAAATAACAAACAAAATGACCTTAGTGTTCTATAGATCGCCTCTGACCATTCCCCACGTTCTATGTTAGAATTATTGTTCCAGTATTCGCTTTCGAACGTGTTAGAGTTTCAGCGCGAAAAGGTCTGTGGAGACAAAGGACATTCCTTTGGTGAATCTTGAGAGGGAGCCTGGATCGTCTCCCTTCATTTATGACAGGGCGTGAGTTGTTAATACCCACTAGTTCTTTCCTTCCCCCTCTACGGGTGAGAGAGGGTCTAATTGAAGTTATTCATTGCAAACCTGATCTGACCTATTTGGATTCTCGTGGACAGTCATGACACCTCCGAATATTATTGCTACCGTTCGGTCTGCAAGGGTGCCCTCCGCGAGAGGGCTGTATGTGTATAAATGGCAAGCATATGAGCTCTGGTGCGAAGATAAAGGTCTTTATGTTCCTACAGGAGCTTTTCAAGCATTCTCCACTTTAAAAGTGTACATGGCCGCTGTCGCAGTGTGTTATGTGGGAATTGACGGAACCTCACCGGGAGCTCATCCCCTGGTGGTGCGATTCCTGAAAGGTGTACGTCGTCTCAGACCGGTCTCTAAACCTATTGCGCCCACATGGGGTTTGGCGCTGGTTTTGGAGGCACTGTGTGCAGCACCCTTTGAGCCTCTGGAGTCGGGGGAGAAGATCCTCTCTTACGAAACCTCCCTGCTCATGGCTTTGGCCTCAGCTAAATGTGTTGGGGACCTCCCACGTGTTATCTGTACACCCTTCCTGTACTCAGTTCGCCCCAGGTGACTCTAAGATGATGTTGCATTCAAATACGGTCTTCACCCCGAAAGTCATGGCTATGTCCTACAGGTCCTTAGCTTTTGAACTATTTCCCTTTTCACCTCCTCCTTTTGCTTCTGAAGAGAAACAGAGGTTCCATGCCCTGTGTCCGTTGCGAGCTTTACACACGTACATTGAACAGACCCGGGATATCCGGTTATGTAACCAACTTTTTGTCTGTTTTGCTAATCCAGCTCGCAGCAGGGCGCTCTCCCACTGGCATATAGCAGCAAGGGGCAATGTTTACCTAGTGGTGTACGTGCCCACTCCACCAGGGGTCTGGCAGCGTCTTGGCCGTTGTTTAGTGGGTTGACTATAGGAGACATTTGTGCTGCGGCGAGTTGGGTATCACCACACACTTGTGAGGTTTTATCGCTTGGATGTCACTGCTCCCAGTATAGCACACAGTGTGCTGAGACGGGGGTTAGTCACTAGGCAGTGTGTCTGGGTGGTCTGCCATGGGCCGTTTCATTTAGTAACCATTGGGGTCGGTTTGGGGCGTGATTATACACTGAACAAAAATATAAATGCAACATGCAACAATTTCAAAGATTTTACTGAGTTACAGTTCATATAAGGAAATCAGTCAATTGAAATAAATTCATTAGGCCCAAATCTATGGATTTTACATGACTGGGAATACAGATATGCATCTGTTGGTCACAGATACAGTACCTTAAAAAGAAAGTAGAGGAGTGGATCAGAAAACCAGTCATTATCTGGTGTGACATCATGCAACGCGACACATCTCCTTCGCATAGAGTTGATCAGGCTGCTGATTGTGGCCTTTGGAATGTTGTCCCACTCCTCTTCAATGGCTGTGTCCGAAGTTGGTGGATATTGGTGTGAACTGGAACACGCTGTCGTACACGTCGATCCAGAGCATCTCAAACATGCTCAATGGGTGACATGTCTGGTGAGTATGCAGGCCAGCAGCAGCAGCACACAAGTCTAAGATCACCATACGCAATGCCAAGCGTCCTCTGGAGCAGTGGAAACGCCTTCTCTGGAGTCATGAATCACGCTTCACCATCTGGCAGTCTGACAAACAAATCTGGGTTTGGTGGATGCCAGGAGAACGCTACCTGCCCAAATGCATAGTGCCAACTGTAAAGTTTGGTGGAGGAGGAATAATGGTCTGGGGCTGTTTTTCAGGATTTGGGCTATGCCCCTTAGTTCCAGTGAAGGGAAATCTTAACACTACAGCATACAATGACATTCTAGATGATTCTGTGCTTCCAACTTTGTGGCAACAGTTTGGGGAAGGCCCTTTCCTGTTTCAGCATGACAATGCCCCCTTGCACAAAGCGAGGTCCATACAGAAATGGTTTGTCGAGATCGGTGTGGAAGAGCTTGACTGGCCTGCACAGAGCCCTGACCTCACTAATGCTCTTGTGGCTGAATGGAAGCAAGTCCCTGCACCAATGTTCCAACATCTAGTGGAATGCCTTCCCAGAAGAGTGGAGGCTGTAATAGCAGCGTAGGGGGGACCAACTCCATATTAATGTCCATGATTTTGTAATGAGATGTTCGATGAGCAGGTGTCCACATACTTTTGGTCATGTAGTGTATGTTGTACCTAATTTCCCTCCTTCAAGGAACAGGAGTTATAGTCATAGCATTACGTTCTACTACTTCCGGGTTCAGTCACGTGGTAAAACTATCCTTCCTCAATTTCAAAATGACGCTAGGTACATAAACATTTGGTCCGATATTTTGTCTCAGTCTGTATACTTTTACAGGTTAAAATAGAGAGCTGATTTATATGATTACGATCTGATTAATGGCCTAATCAGAATGGATCCTGAGGTCTCTGTGCTGTTGCACTGCACTGCCTGGGGAGGTCTCCTGGAACCACAGATGCAGGTGGAGCTTTATGCCAGGTAACTTCATAATACATTACAATCGATAGACTACTTATAACAACCAACTGACTGTAAAACCAGTTATCAAACATAATGGCTCTTTTGTCCTCCCTCCCTCCCTCCCTCCCTCCCTCCCTCCCTCCCTCCCTCCCTCCCTCCCTCCCTCTCTCCCTATCGCTCTCTCTCTCTCTTTCTATCCATCCGTCAGACGTAGACAGCACTGGAACGTCACATTGAGGAGGTGTGGATAGAGAGGGTGACCAGGGAGCCATGGCTTTTCAATGGGGCCAAATTCAGCCTGCACTCTTTCAGTCTGGCCTCCCCCCAGCCCTCCTGACCACCTACACCCCAGCCTCCCTGCATGAATGGAGCAGGAGACAGAGATGGAAGGCAATGTAGCATTCAGAAGGAAGAAGAGGGCTTACACAAGACAAGGGGGACGCCGACTCTGGAAGAGCAGAGGTGCTCAGACACCAAAGTGATCAAATAGACAAAGTCATAGGCGACGACAGCATAATGACATTGATTTGAGTAGCTATAAGCAGAGGGAGGGGAACCTCAGAGACTCACAAACCTCCACCCCAGGGTGCAGAAACCGAGATCCTGCTGTGGGCAGCAGAAGCTCAACCCTGCCCACAGAGAGATGTGGGTGGGAAGGGTGAGAGGCCCACTCCCATCCTGAACCTGAGGTTGGGCCTGACCTACTATAGGGACTTCCTGGGCACCAACTGGTCTCAGAGAGCTATGCCAGTGTCGGGAGGTGGAGTTTGGGGATCCTCTGGCGCTATTGGCTCAGCCAGTGGCGGGGGCATCCCTGGGGGGCACCCTGAACCAAAGGTGAGACACGTGGAGAACGAGGGTGAAAGTTACTTATGACAACTTACTGATGATATCTCCTCCCCCTTTCCCCCAGCCTGTGTTTGAAGGCCTTGACGAAGAGGACAGGATCAGGGTGGAGATGCTGCAGCGGCGGGACGAGGCTGTTGAGACAGACAGGAGGCAGTTGAGACAGACAGGAGGCTGTTGAGACAGACAGGAGGCAGATGAGACAGACAGGAGGCTGTTGAGACAGACAGGAGGCAGATGTGACAGACAGGGGGCTGTTGAGACAGACAGGAGGCAGATGAGACACACAGGAGGCAGATGACACAGACAGGAGGCAGATGAGACAGACAGGAGGCAGATGAGACAGACAGGAGGCAGTTGAGACAGACAGGAGGCAGATGAGACAGACAGGAGGCAGTTGAGACAGACAGGAGGCAGATAAGACAGAGAGGGGGCTGTTGAGACAGACAGGAGGCAGATGAGACAGACAGGAGGCATATGAGACAGACAGGAGGCTGTTGAGACAGACAGGAGGCAGATGAGACAGACAGGAGGCTGTTGAGACAGACAGGAGGCAGATGAGACAGACAGGAGGCAGATGAGACAGACAGGAGGCTGTTGAGACAGACAGGAGGCTGTTGAGACAGACAGGAGGCAGATGAGACAGACAGGAGGCTGTTGAGATAGACAGGAGGCAGATGAGACAGACAGGAGGCAGATGAGACAGACAGGAGGCTGTTGAGACAGACAGGAGGCAGATGAGACAGACAGGAGGCTGTTGAGACAGACAGGAGGCAGATGAGACAGACAGGAGGCAGATGAGACAGACAGGAGGCTGTTGAGACAGACAGGAGGCAGATGAGACAGACAGGAGGCAGATGAGACAGACAGGAGGCTGTTGAGACAGACAGGAGGCAGATGAGACAGACAGGAGGCTGTTGAGACAGACAGGAGGCTGTTGAGACAGACAGGAGGCAGATGAGACACACAGGAGGCAGATGACACAGACAGGAGGCAGATGAGACAGACAGGAGGCAGATGAGACAGACAGGAGGCAGTTGAGACAGACAGGAGGCAGATGAGACAGACAGGAGGCAGTTGAGACAGACAGGAGGCAGATAAGACAGAGAGGGGGCTGTTGAGACAGACAGGAGGCAGATGAGACAGACAGGAGGCATATGAGACAGACAGGAGGCTGTTGAGACAGACAGGAGGCAGATGAGACAGACAGGAGGCTGTTGAGACAGACAGGAGGCAGATGAGACAGACAGGAGGCAGATGAGACAGACAGGAGGCTGTTGAGACAGACAGGAGGCTGTTGAGACAGACAGGAGGCAGATGAGACAGACAGGAGGCTGTTGAGATAGACAGGAGGCAGATGAGACAGACAGGAGGCAGATGAGACAGACAGGAGGCTGTTGAGACAGACAGGAGGCAGATGAGACAGACAGGAGGCTGTTGAGACAGACAGGAGGCAGATGAGACAGACAGGAGGCAGATGAGACAGACAGGAGGCTGTTGAGACAGACAGGAGGCTGTTGAGACAGACAGGAGGCAGATGAGACAGACAGGAGGCAGATGAGACAGACAGGAGGCAGATGAGACAGACAGGAGGCAGATGAGACAGACAGGAGGCTGTTGAGACAGACAGGAGGCTGTTGAGACAAAGAAACAGCTGCTGGTCATATGAGACTGAGTGGTCAAGGACAGTCCGTCTCTGTTTATGTCTCCTTTCTTTCTTGAGCTCTCTCTCCCACATCTTTCTTTCTCTCTTCGTCCCTCTCTCCATCTCTAATTTTCTTTCTCCATCTCTTTCATTAAGTTAGTCATAATTTTACGATCATTACGACCTCACCCTCTCTCTGTCTATCTGCAGGTAAATGTTCCTGTGTTCTCTGGGTGAGCCGGTAATGATGGGCATTGCTCTGAATCTCACCAGTGCAGGCAGACCCAGCACAAGGTTCTACATCAGCTACTCACACAGGAAGTGACATCATAGAAAAGAGCCCTTCATTATCAGGTCCATGTTTGGTAACTGACCACAAAATGACATGCAGTATTATGAAATCCAATGCTATGTGTCTGTATCCAGTTGTTCGTTGATTTCCACAGAAGTTTGAGCGATTTACCGGCAGGGGGGCGTCGAGGCCCAGGAGTCTACAGATATCGTGTTGTTGAGCCAAATGGTAAGGAGTGCCACAACACAGTTACCCAATACAGCATTACAGTGTAGTGACCAAGCACGTTCAAAATGTGACATTGCCGGTATCTGTGAACCGTAATCTGTGCATAAAGAAATATCCAATAACATATTTCGTCATTGAAACATAGATATCGAACAATGTCATCCATGTAATGTGTAATGAATCTTTGAATGCGTGTCTTGTGATTTGAAGGAGGTGCTGTGGTCGTAGTTGTGTCCTTCAGCCAAAGGTGCAGTGCTGCTCTATCAACTAGTGCTGCCTGACCAAGAAGACAGACGCAATCGATCACAGACTCCAGCTACCTCACCGGATAAAAATTCCAGATGATGAAATGAATACAATAGACATTTTCTTCAAAGAAAAAGCAGCGATTTAATGCTGTTGTTGTTGCTTTAAGAGACAATACTGTTGAAGTTTAAGCCCGCTGCTATGAAAATGTCTACGTAAACATTCCCTGATATAAAGCTCCAGCAGTATTACAAGAATTCAAGGATTACCAACAAACAAACAAAATAACTCTGTACAAACATTGTTTGATGTTTGACCCTTAGGCACCTGGTGGAGGCACAATATTACCCAACTTTGCATAAAAATGCTGTAAGATAAAGTAAGAAATTATAACTACATTTATAATAAATATTTTATAAAACCACTTGATGATTTTGCCCCTCTCTTAAGGCATTTAACAGTAACCCAGGTAACTGTCGTAAACGTAGTTCCTGTTGCCGTAGTTGCCCTGGTCTTGGTAACCCTGATTCTTGTTGCCATAGTAGCCTTTGTCTTGGTAACCCTGATTCTTCACTGTATAGGCTTGCACAGTATGTTACTCCATTAAACTTAATCTGTGTGCAAATTATGCAACTCAGAACAACTCAATGATTTATATGCTGCTACTCTATAGACGTTTTTGAATTGTGTGAATACTTACGAAATTATCCTAAAAAAGGTAATTGCTCATTGTTTATATTCTGTATTGTATTTCTCTGACCTTTGACCTTGTGGAGATCTGTTTCAGGGATCTCCTCCCCCTCTTCCTCCCTGTTGCTCCTGCAGACGCTTCTTCCACTCCTCTGTGGAGGGGAATACCACAACCACCCTGCGCCTGAAACCACCGAACCACAGCAGCCTCTGGCGCTGAGCTGAGGGGTTGGACGTTGGGCTGGGGAACAAGAAGAAAAATACTGTGCCATCCAATTGTCTTTACAGAGAACTCAAATTCATACTTTTTGCTTGAGTGGGGTAGGCAGAAGGAAGAGAGGTGGAGAGGCAGAGAGAGGTTGTCTAAACTATCACCTTTCAAAAGGAATCCAAAACACACCAACGACTGCTGTGCTGTACTGTAAAATCTAAGATTTATGTAACTAACCAAAGATTGACCAAAGCCTGTCTTTCCAATAGAAGCAAATTAATATTAGTTGGGCAGAGCCAAGCACGACCTAGTGAGATCGTATTGGCGCGTTGTAGCATTTATTTGCATATTTTCATAAGGGAACACCTACTCTGGGAAGTGCGCGTGTGCAACAACTCAATTCGCCCAATTCGCCAAAAAAAAAAGACACTTTGGCAAAGGGTGAAGTCTACAAAACGCAGTGCACACTGTTTGTTACAGATTCTAGTTTTGGAAACAGAAAACTGTATGAAGATCAAATGTTTTACCGATGAGAAAATTAACAGAATGTCGGCCAAAATCCATCTCGCTCCATCTTCTCCCACTGCCGGCCACTGGGCTTCCTCTCATCACCATATTTGGTAGTGAGTGGAAACGCCAACTGCATGCTTCACATTTATACACCCGGTGAAATATCTGGCTCATTGTTCTATCTGTGGTAAAATTCAATATGTGACTCTACTATGAGCCATCGGAAAAATAACCCTGCCTTGATAGCCCAAACCCCATCTGCTATTGGTGCAAATTGGTACCGCCCATAGACACGTTTGATTACGCTGGATGGGGTTGACCAATCACACTTGTGCTTTATTCACCAAATGAGTGCAGATCCAGGATCAGCCGAAGTTACTCAGCCCCGTCCAAGGATGATCTAGAAAGAAACAAAAAAGTTCTGAAATCAGCACTGCAGGGAAAACAGTTGTTCCACGCCCAGAGAGACGTCAACAAATTATAAGCATGCAGTAACTACCCAAAATCTAAAGCTTTTTTTCCCCACAAAAAATTACAAAGAATCAGTCTTTCATAGGAAGATGTTTATTGATTTACACAATGAGGATGATAAATAAAAACATGAATATAAATAACCAGTATAAAACAAAAACAAATCAATATTGACAGTAATACTGCAAAATACAATAGATTACAGACATTCTATCTCTCTTCCGGTTTCTTGCTCCGCTTTCTGTGTGTCACCACAACTACTAAGGTCAGGGTTCAGAGTTTGAAGGTCAAGACTTGTTTTTCCAACAAGTATTGGGTATTCCTCTATTCTCTACATCTCCCTAAACCATCTTGGCTCAGCCCAGTTCACACTAAACACTACACTTGATGACACTATCATCAAAGTTCTATATTTCTGAAAGATCTGGATGCTTCAAAAGCCTTGAAAGCAGCTGCATCTACACAAATAGCATCATACAACGACCTTCACTAGAGGAAGAGAGTGATTCTGCGACACAATAGAACATTCATGTGTCTTGCTCACACAGTGAGCCTGTTTGAATATAGTGGCTCTCTTTCACAAATACTACATGCTTCTTGCTTCTCAATGAAAGCGCCTCAGTACAAATGTGCATTTACACACTCAAAACAATGAATTACTTTTTCCTTGAGCGCTAACATGCAAATGGTACATTTGGCAACTTTGGAACTGTTGGATATAACATACATACATATTGAACAAACACTTTTAGGCCATGTTTTGTTGAAACAGACAACACTGTAAAATAATAACTTAGTATTTATATGTAACTAATTTGGCATGGCTCAGTCAGTCAGTCATCTACCTTGTTATGAAGTTAGCGAGCTAAGCACTGATGAATTTAGATCACATTAAACCATATATATAACTCTAAGATGAGATGGTAGTAGGTACTACTTAAATATTTGATTTAAGAACTGCCATAACACTGCTTAACTTATTCTCCATTTTTTGTTTACACTCAATTAATCCCTTTTGATTGGAAAAACAATTGGTAGGTGGCATAATTTGAGGTTGGAGGTTGATCCCTGTTACATAAGAGGCTACGTGGTGAATGGTGGTGATGATGAGGTTTAGCAGAACAAAGGTAATTAGGGTTAGGGTAAAATAAAACCACTGGGTGTTGATAGGATAGCTGCAGGGGATTCCATTGGGGTTAAGGCCTGGGTTAGATAAAGATGACGCTGGGCACTGTTGATAGGGTTTGTGAGGGTGAGCCCCGGTCTGATCCTGATGAGCCTGAGAAGGAGAGAGAGTGACCCAGGAGATACTCCTTCTCTTTGGGCAGGCAGGGCCCATTGATGTGCTGGCTGTGGGAGTGGTAGAGACGCATGAAGGACAGGATGGAGTGAGTCAGCCACAGTGCTGTCACACTCCACAGAGCAACCTGGAGAGAGAGAGAAACATTATTATAAGTATATATGATTAGTATTATTAGAGAGAGCGAGAGAGCGAGAGAGGGGTAGGGGAAACAGAGAGGAGGGAGAGAGAGAGAGAGAGAGCACAGAGAGGGAGAGAGAGAATACTAGACATTGAGGAAATTGAAACAACCTCTGTCAACGTGTACAAGTCTGGGACAGTAATGGTGCAGGGCATCCTCATGCAGTTCCAGCAGGACTTTTACGGGATCAAAGAGAGCACAGCAGGAAAAGCTTTCTCTCTGTGACGACTACCCCATCCTGAGTGAGTCTGATCACAACTCTTCAAACTGTCCTGCAGACGAGGATAGTCACCCCCCCCCCCCCCCCCCCCCCCCCCCCCCCAGTACTGAACACACCCAGGTCCCACAACTGCACTGCTCCTCCATCATTGAGAGGGATACATTCACAGAGCTGGAGAGAGACATGGTGGAGCTCAGAGAGCTAGTCCACACAATCCAGACAGAACAGACCCACAAAACAGAGCAGCACAACAACACCCATCCAACAAGACCCGGGGGGCGGAAGGTGGAGATGGACAGCTGTCTGAGAGAGCTGGCTACACTCCAGATTGAGGTGAGATAATTTAAGGAGGAGAGAGAGGTACACATGACACAGCTAAATGCAGTGAAGGAGGGAGAGAAACACATGGCACAGCTAACAGCAGTGAAGGAGGATGGAGAGAAACACATGGCACAGCTAACAGCAGTGAAGGAGGAAGAGAAACACATGGCACAGCTAACAGCAGTGAAGGAGGAAGAGAAACACATGGCACAGCTAACAGCAGTGAAGGAGGATGGAGAGACACACATGGCACAGCTAACAGCAGTGAAGGAGGGAGAGAAACACATGGCACAGCTAACAGCAGTGAAGGAGGAAGAGAAACACATGGCACAGCTAACAGCAGTGAAGGAGGAAGAGAAACACATGGCACAGCTAACAGCAGTGAAGGAGGAAGAGAAACACATGGCACAGCTAACAGCAGTGAAGGAAGATGGAGAGAAACACATGGCACAGCTAACAGCAGTGAAGGAGGAAGAGAAACACATGGCACAGCTAACAGCAGTGAAGGAGGAGGGAGAGACACACATGGCACAGCTAACAGCAGTGTGTCACGATCGTCATACATAGAGGAGGACCAAGGCGCAGCGTTGAAGGCGAACATATTTATTTAAAGAATGATCACCCGATCAAAACAACAAAACGATGACGTGACAGTCAATGGTAATACACAAACCAAATACGAACAAGAAACCACACCAAATGAATGCCTAACGGCTACCTAAGTATGACTCCCAATCAGAGACAACGAGCTACAGCCGTCTCTGATTGGGAGCCACCCTGGCCAACATAGAATTACAAAACCAGAAAGTGAAACCTAGAACACACATAGACTATACACACCCTGGCTCAACATATTAGAGTCCCCAGAGCCAGGGCGTGACAGTACCCCCCCCTAAAGGCGCGGACTCCGACCGCGCCCACCAAATACCACAGGGGAGGGACCGGGTGGGCACTCCGCTTAGGCGGCGGATCCGGCTCCGGGCCTGATCCCCACTCCCTCTCCAACCCCCCAAAGTACCCCTGGTCCGGTCTGGCCCCGCTGGCCGGAGCTGGACTGCACACTGGTGGAGCGGATTGCTCTAGCTCCGGCGTGAAGCATCTGACCGGTGCCGGACCAGCCACCGGTGGAACAGGCACGGGCCGTGCCGGACTGACGACGCACACCACTGGCTTGGTGTGGGGAGCAGGAGCGGGCCGAGCCGGGCTGTCGAAGCGCACCACTGACTTGGTGCGGGGAGCAGGAACGGGCCGAGCCGGGCTGACGAAGCGCACCACTGACTTGGTGCGGGGAGCAGGAACGGGCCGAGCCGGGCTGACGAAGCGCACCACTGACTTGGTGCGGGGAGCAGGAACGGGCCGAGCCAGGCTGACGAAGCGCACCACTGACTTGGTGCGGGGAGCAGGAACGGGCCGAGCCGGGCTGACGAAGCGCACCACTGACTTGGTGCGGGGAGCAGGAACGGGCCGAGCCGGGCTGACGAAGCGCACCACTGACTTGGTGTGGGGAACAGGAACGGGCCGAGCCGGGCTGACGAAGCGCACCACTGACTTGGTGCGGGGAGCAGGAACGGGCCGAGCCGGGCTGACGAAGCGCACCACTGACTTGGTGCGGGGAGCAGGAACAGGCCGGACCGTACTGGGGACACACACCACTGGTCCTACGCAGGGATCTGGAATGGGCCGGACCGGACTGGTAACACACCCCAGTACCTCTCGCCGTGCCTCTACACCTTCCACCCCCTCTTCGACCAGTGGCCCCCGTAACCTGGCGGCCTCCTCTGCCAATCCGCTGGGCCGCTCTGCCGCGGTCTCCTGCTGGCCCGTCGTCCACGGCGTTAGCCCCCCCCTAAAAAAATTCTGGGCGTCTCTACTACCCGTGGACCAGGTCTCCATGTCCCTCGCCAGCCTTTCGCCCTTCTGCCTCAATGTCAAGCCCTTCTCTTCCTCACTCGGCTTGACCCAGTCGAGGAGGCGAAGGAGATCTGCTAGAGATCTCCCTGGCGATG